GAGTGTTTGCACGTGTTTTTTGTCAAATGGGGGAAGAGGGAGGTGGTTGGGGGGCGCGGGGGGCGGGGGGGGGGGGGGGGGTGGGGGTGGGTAATGGGTGTTGGTTTTCGATTTGACAAAGAAAGGGCAGAAAAGATGAGGGGTTTGGGGCTGCCCGGATGACGGGGCAACACGTCTCGAGGCTGCCAAGTGGAGGGATTGTGTGAAGCCAAGTCATCCTTTTTGGGGTTTGGGGGTGGTGGTGGGGAGGTTAAACCCTCGGGGGAGGGATGTCTTTCTAAATAGGCAATGTTTGCATTGGTGCAAGGGGGGGAAGTTGTTAAATGGCTAAGTACAAAAGAAGTGTGAAGGATGGATGCTTTGGTTGTCACTTGTTGGTTCGGCGGAATTGGACCATTTCGATGGAGACGGAACTCATTTTTGAATTGTACTTTAGGATATGCGTACTTACTTTTCGGATGAGTTAACAAGGGATTATGTTACCTTTTTATTCCTTGCATTTTAGTAAACCCATGATGTCAGGAGTGAGAATTATACTCATACTTTGCATTCTCGTTCTTGGTAAGTAAACAGACCACTATTGAGTTGGATAGCGGTTAACCATATTGTTCTTCCATTCAATAATATACAATTTACTTGAGGTAGTATTTCTGTTGCATGAAAGATTCATCTAAAGGGGATAATCTATTCTAAGGGAGGGGGGCTAAAAGAACTTTTTGGATACAACATTATATTGCATTTAAGTGGGTGGTTTAGGCCACACAATGGGTCAACCACTTCCTAAATATTAAACTCAACACAAAAAATAATATGTTCTCGCTATTAATGTGAATCAAACCCGGAACCTCGAACTTACAAATGAAGATCAACATTGCTTCATCGTATCACTAGTTAGACTAACTTGAACTTGATCTCAATCTGTTTCCCAGTCCTAGTCAGTAAACTAGTCACTAGCGTGTGTGATGACGGGAGAAAATAATAAAGTGGGGGGCAGCTCCAAGCGATTGCTGATTGCAGTGAAGTTGAAGGGTAGGTGACAAATTTGCCTTGACTTTTAGTGATGGGAGAATTTGGTTGCCATGATAAATGTTCAGCAAACAAGCTGCTGCGCTGCTTGAATTGAGAAAATTGGTTCATGACGTGTACCAACTACTGCAAGTGACCATTGGCATTTTTGACCAGCCAATGATGGTTGTGGTGGCTTCTATGTGGCACAAAGATAAAAAAAAAACTCATTTAGAAGTGACTAGAAAATAAGCCCGCGCGTTGCGGCGGGAACCACTGTTTCAGGCGTAACTACATGAATAAAAAACACATTAAACTTGAACAAATTCAAACACAATCATGAATGAACAAAGGGGCACATAAGTGAATGAGATCGATAAGATAAACAACTTGACTTTTATATACATTCAACTAAGCTAACATGTAAAGACATTGCACAATTAGTAGGAAGAAACTGAGTTAAGACTTGCTAATCTATCACCTTGTCTTACAGAAACCCACTTAATACTCTCATAACCAGTTTGCTTGTACACCGCAAAGTCCATCAGTTGTTCGTATAAAGAGGTATGCAGAGGAGAAATACAATAACTATTGATGCCACTTTAGTGGGAAAAAGAAAAGCATGATGGAAAAACATATATGCTTCCAATGATTCATCCTCGAAGACAAAAATATGAACAAAGAGAAAGAAAAGCTAATAATAATGAGAGACGTAACAGTAACACTTTGTAGTATAGAACTATGCTTTTTTCTTAATTATTAATGTTGGATTGCTTTCTTTTCTCATGGAAAAGTCAGGATTATGGAACTTACTTTCATTTTGTTGAAGTTCATTCTCTGGACAAACTCTTGATAGAGCATTTCATTTTTCTTCTTTGAGATTTCACAATGAACTTCATCCAAATCTCCGGTGGTATCGTCCCAACCCTCTGGCATAACCTTGAAATCAGGTTTGTAGGTAAGGGATACCACGTGGAATTCGCGGTCATGAGAATTAAAAAATCTGAAAAGAGGAAAGGAGTTATGCACTATGAGAGAAATAAAATCTGGCTATTAGATCAGCCAAGCACCACTAAGCTTATAAAATTTGCGACTACAATTAACGCAGCATGAAACCTTTACCATCAGTATGAAGTATGCACAGAATATTGATATCATTACAAAATTATTAGAACTACAGGACCCATTGTATATAATAGAAGTAATGCTTGTGAATTGATATCTTACTCTGGGCAGGTGTCAAGCAGGAGCTCAACAGAATCATCTAAAGGACGACCAAGCTTTTTCTCCTCTCTTCCCCCTCAAGCTCTTTAAGCCAAAGCATAGCATGCACTCTCTGCCTTATAATCCTATAATCCTTAGCCAGCCTCTCAACAGTATAAACTTCAGGGATTTCCTTGTGCTTCTTATACATCTCAGCCTTCTCTGAGTCTTTGAGATAAGACCCTCTCGCACCAGGCTCACTTCCACTTCTCTTATCCTATCCTCAATTTCTTGCAAACCAGATACCACTGATGATTGAGATAAAGAAACATAGATTATGAGATTAAAACAAAACTGACCAAAAAGGATACAGAGCCGACGACTTAAAATGTAACTATTTACTTGTTTATGAAAATACGAATTTAAAATGTAACTATTTACTCTGTTATCAAGCAACCAAGTTATGAAATACGAATTTAAAATGTACTATTTACTGTGTTTGTAATGAATCTGTGAAATCAAATAGTTAAACCCTAAAAAGCACCACTGTAAATAGCATAAGAAAATTGAATTAACCCTAAAGAAATTGGGAGAGAAGAATATATGAAAAGGGAATACCTTTCGGCTCTTGTTATTGGAAAAAAACCCAACAGAGCAAAAAGCCTCCAACTCCAAACACTGTTGTGGGATTTTGAAGAGAGCAAGAGAGAATATATCAGAAGAAATAAAGCCAAACTGCACTGCTTTTATATATCAATGTTTGAAACAATCTTTCAAATTTCTAAAAAAAATTAATAATACTTTTAAATAATGAACAGAATCTCCCTTTTGGTCCAAAAGAGAGAAACAAATAATAAAATAATAGAACCCAGAACCCTTTAAAGCCAATTATATGTGGGGGTGGGGTTGTGGGATCACAAAAAGTCCAAAATTTTTTTGCACCGCCCATGAAAATTAAACATTGACATTGATTCACAGAGAAGAATATGGGCAACGACAAAGATGGGATGCGGGGAGGGAGGATGAGAATAGAGGGAATAGACACAGACCAAAAATATAATTAACAACTAATGGCATATATATATCAAGGACACAAATAGTTGCAGAGGCGTGGATTATACCTTTTCATCTTGGATTTGAGAACTTCGTGGCCTCCGCCTTATTTTTGAACACCAGATTTGAGCTCTGTGTGCTCAAATTAAATGAGTTCATCCAGGCATGGGCTTCAGATCTCACTAACTCTCTGCAAGCATGGGCTTCCTCCTCAATTTCCGTCATATTCTCTATGCGCTCTATCCCTCCTCCCTCACTCAATCAGGTCAGAGAGCAGACAAATCTGATGTAGACTTCAATGTATACGAATCCATGGTTGAACTCATTTCGTGACAAACTGAGTGAAAGAAATGAATCATCAAATTAAGATCCACATAATTAGTTGCATTTGTCACTCTTAGATATCTACAATTTAAGATCCGCATAATTAGTTGCATTTGACACCAAAATACCAATCATTCCAAAACACCATTGAAGCACTGACAAATCACAAATTTCACCAAATTCAAAAGCACCCAACACCCACCAATAAAATTTGGAAAAAGTCCTATTGAAAGGATGAGATTGCTTGAAACAAAACCCCCAAAATCACAAAAATGAAATTTTAACAGAAAAACCCATTTTCTAAGCCCAAACTTAACACTTCTAACACATAATTTTCAAACCACAAAATTACCCACCCTAAAAAGTGAACCTGTTCGTAATGGTAGAGAAGGGTTGAGTAGTGAAACCCATATGATCAAACTACCAAATACTGAAGAAAAAAAATTAATAATTACCTCAACAGCTAACGGAGCCAAAGCCAAACCCCAGAGTTTCGAATGGCAGAAATGATAACAGAAACATGAATGGTCCTTCTTCCTTCCCCACTACTGCTGCCACTTTCTCTCTCTAAATGAGTTACCATTACACCAAACCATTAGCATGCAAGTATTTAACTACAATGTTTAGTGCTTTGCAACTGAGTCATGATACTGAATCAAAAGAATAAAAAACATATATTCTTGGACATTTTATCATGAGATCATACCACCACAATGCTCAAAATCCTAAATTAGTATACATTTGCTTACGCAAAATCTATGCTCGTCAATTCAGACCAACCCTCATACATTTGCAGCTCAAATCAGCACAGGAAAAAAGTGCTAGGCATGTTCCCCCAAAAGTCAATTTATCAGTCTTTGAAATGGGCAATAAAAACCCATCAACATTGTGCTTTCAAGAATCATTTTTCTTTAAAAATAAATAAATAAATATAATAAAAAATCAGCTTTTTCGATAATGAATCCAATTAAACAGTTCAGAAGTCAACAGAGCAAAAAACAAAAATCAAGTCACTTTTTATATACATTTTAAATCAATTAGATCAATCAGATAACAGATAGAAGATGGAATTCCACAAAAACTGTAACAAAAGTCAGCTCATTTAGGTACAATTACTACGAAGATTGAAGTTGAAAACATAAAAGGAAGTAAATTTAAATCATTTTGCCCACACTTTCCCAGCAACGAAGCAGAGAATTAAGAAATTGAAAGCAAATGAACTGATTGGCGCAATCAATTTAACCAAAGAAATCCGATTTTACTACGATGGGGGTAAATATGAAGAAAAGGGTGAGAAATTACTTACAGAGAGAGCTTCGACAACTTGGCCTAGAAAGCCAGAGAGGAGATCCTTTCTTATGAGAGAATCAAATCAGTGTTATGAACCTCACGAAATTCGCATTACAGAAACCCATCTGAAACATTTTCATTCAGAAGAATCATTAGTTTCTCTCGTTCTAAATTGAGAATATGTTGAAGAACTGACCAACTGCATACCGCATAATAAAACCTAAAACTAAAGCCAACCCAGTTCAGCAAATGAACATACTATTAGCTAAAGGGATACAAATTTTGTGATTAAATCAAATAACACATATCTACTTTCAAATTGCAATCATATGAGAAATTGGTATCTCTATAACAATGTAATATTTGAACTCCAATTATCAAAATCCAATTAACAAATACACTAATATCTGTACACAAATATAATAACCCAATAATTTAGCAAGAATGAAAAGGAAATAATATGAACAGAGAGATATGTATAATGACCTGGAGGTATACCTTACAGACAGAGTCATTCTTTCGCTTCTTCCCTCTTGACGCTTTACATAATTTCATACCAACAGTAAGAACAATGCAGATTATATACACTTTCAAATTGCAAGAGAAGTTAATAAAACAGGATATATTTTCAGTACCTAACCTCTTGGCATCCTAATTCAAGAACCGTATTCAAGTTATGATCATAAATGAAGAATGCATGTTGGTAAATTAGTTAACTACATTGTTACTTTTTCAGTATCCCATATCCATTATATTTACCCCTATGAAGGGTATGACCGTTAAACCTCAAAGCTCGCCCAAAAATAGGATGGTTCATGTCACATGCCAGAATTACACACCCTACATCTAACATTCAAGAATAAATCCAAATTTCATGATTGGGCAACAACAAAAGAAATGTTAAAAGATGATAAACCCAACCATGATAACTTCTTAGTTTAGTATGTGTTGTGTGTATTAGCTTTGCATTCTTGTCTGTTCTCTGTTTCTGGTTGAGGTACTCATGCTTTCTTCTTATTCTCGTCAGTGTTTTTCATCAGACGATCCAACCCTACCCATTCATCCCAACTGTTGAGAGAAAAAAAGAGAGAAAAGGTCAATAAGATAAATGAAATCAAAAGTTTCAAGAGATATTAACCACTGAAAGCTTAAGCATTAGCCTTCATCTCCGATAAACCTCCGTCATCAGAATCAATTACAATATAATGGTCTCATAATAACATCTGCTGTGGTCTAATAAACTAAGGTGAAAGGACCACTTAAACTGAAGCGAGATGGCAAATGATAACCGAAAAATTAAAAAAACATACAAACTGAAGTAGAGCATGGCGCACCAATTAAATGAGAAATGTAAAACATTTTGAATAAAAGAAATAGGAAGAAACAATCACAGTAAGAGCTCCAAGAGGACATTTTAGAGACGAAATGAGGCTCAAAAGTTCAGAACACGCAGGTCAAATACTTTAGTAAAAATGCAATGATTTACCAATCTCACTACCACAAAGGAACATACAACACAATCTGAGAATTAGGAACTTCTGGATTGAATCCAAAATCACCTGGTCAATGAATTTAATAAGCTTAGTGATTAGGTTGCTGAAAGATAATTGAAATTATAAAGAAACGAAAAAGGGGTAAAATTTATACACATGAAAGACAGTGAACCCCAAACCCTTATTTTCAAACTCAATATATTAGCCATTTTTATCATGCGAACACATTGAAAAGCCAAAAGTTGCTGATAATGTTTACAACAACGAACACATCACAACTTGGTGTTCTCACGCAAAACACATGCAAAAGTCAATACATTTGGTTGTTTTTATTAAAGAACCAGGCTCAACTTAAGACATAACGATTGCACATTCCACCATAACAACCGCAAATAAATATACCTCAAAAGCCAATGGGCCAAGTTCTCTGTCCAATGATCCAAGTTCCTGAAAATCGCAACACAGCAAAGCCATTAACACTAACTCACAGAACAGCAACGAAAATAACAGCTAAGAAATAACAATGAAAATCTATTTGCACCAATCAAACACCGCTGGAACAGGGATCATAGCAAAGGCACAACAATTAAACGATTAAAAACCACTAACTCAACCATTTTCTCGTGCAAACAAAATTGTCATCTGCATCCACTTTAAAACCATGCTTGTTCAACGATATAATCACACCAAACAGAAAGACTCGATCCATTGTTAACATCACCAACCATAATTCCCCACCAAAAAGAACACAGCTCCATACATTTGTTAGGAAATGATCACAGTCGCTGCGAACCACAGAAAGGGGAAACAAATAATAGGGTAATGAACAAAAAGGGACAAATTGCATACAGTTTGATTTCTGCAGAGAAGCTATAACACTAAAAGACCAACACAACAGGAAGAAAAAGAGAAATGAAGAGGAAGTGGTATTATCAGACAGTGAAGAAAGCAGCACAAAATATCTGTTTTTCTGTCCCAATTTAATAATTTAAAAACATATCTTGCACTCCCAACTAAAAGTTGAATAACCGAACCAGAACCAGACAGAAAAATAAAGCAGGAAAAAAAAACAGGTTCCTAAGCAGGTTCAAACCAGAAGCAGTGAAATAAGGGAAAATTCGGTTCAAAAGGGACACCTAGATTTGAAAGGAATTGAAGCTGCCAGCTGGGAGAAATCCTCATCAATGCTTGCAGAGATAGCTTCCAGTTGGAACCAAATCTCTGAAACCAACCCTCGGTTTAGGCGTCCCTTCATGCCTCACCGCTTCTCTAAGCATACCTCACCAAGAAAAAACAAAACCCAAATTCCGGGCAGCCCTACCTATTGCATTGCTCATCCTACCCCTCCCTCTCTCCTCCAATTTTTCCTTCCAGGAGTCCTGCTCTCTCTTCTCTCTGGCATCGCACGACCCCTCTCTCTTATCTGCCATCGGACGACTCCTCTCTCTCTTCTCTCTCGCATCACACGACACCTCCCATCTCTTCCCATCTCTTCTCGCTGGCATCGTTGCAGGCTAGGCCTGCCCGTGGCGCCATCCATCTGAAAAACCCAACCACAAACAAAACCCACCAACCCAGTCACAGCCCAAACCCGCAAAAGCCCATACAACTAAATCTGAAAAGAAAAAAGCCCAGCTGAAATCCTTAGTGAATGGTAAGTCCGTAAATAGAGTGAAACCAGAAAAACAAAATATTATCAAATAAGTAATAATTGGAAAAACATAAACAACTTACAGCCTCCAGCTGTATGAAAATGCTTGTTTAATTTTCTTATGCTGCTTTTAGGGGATGGAAATGGAGGCTTATTCTTGTCTTGTGCTCAATGATATCAATTTCAGCTTGCTCCCAAACGTCCTGCAAAAGCTAAAAGAAAGTTACAGACTTTGCAAGTAAACAATAGCCACTAATTTTTCTCCAAAATTTTCAGATACCTCATTCCCAACCATACACACAAATAAAATAAAAGTAAAAACTCCACAGTACCAATACACAACCAAAATTTGAACCTGAAAATCCATCTTCAAAGTTCTATCAAATGCGAGCATTTACTCAATTTTAAGAAGTTGTATTGTTAAAAAACTTAAATCCCATGATGAACCCACCTTCCTTAATCTTTTCTAAAGAAGCAATAATTCACATAATGTATCCAAATTAGAAAATAACATATGATTCATGATATCTTATACTTTCATATCCAAGTTATGTTTATGCAAATCATGAGAGGCACACATTTAAATCTCATCCCACACTCCCTAAGTAAAAAAGAAACCAGCTCCTCCATCATTCAATGTCCAAGCAGATTTAGCATGTGGAGTAATAGAATATCAAAACGCAAGTTACAATTTTTAATGTACTTTAATAATTATTTCTTCAACATTACCTCCAAGTAGTTCTTCCGATGGAAATAATTGATTTCAAGTGCCTAACCAGTGAGGCACCCTTTCTTTCCCACACTCTGCTTAACAATCCATGAACCTGAAGAGAGAAGAATCAGTTATAAGTTAATTGATCTTTAGTTGGTTCCATAACTTGCTAAAAAGAAAAGAGAACAAAACAAAAAAAGTTAATCGAAGAATTTTACAAAAGCTACAAAAATTAACTAAATCTCACATCAAAAGAAACCAGAAATTTAATGAAGAATTCTCCAAAACCCACAAATTAAAACGTAAAATTCTACAAAATCAAGAAAAATTTAATACAATCTAATTATATTAATCACCAAATTGAATTAGATCTTCACATCCAATAAGTAACAGAATTTGAAAACATTATACCCCAAGAAACCCCAAATTTACAGAAATTGGGAGCAAAGATCGAAGAGATCTCACGAAGCCGACATCGAAATCGTCAATCGTGTTGCAGAGCACAGCCACACCAAATTTAGATCAAACCCTAATTTCCAGAATAATGATAAAAATCGACAAAAATATATATACAATTGGCACGTTACCATTGATTCGAGTTCTGGTAAGGAGTGCGGCGGCGAGGTAAGGCGAGGTGTGCGACGGCGAGGGGAAGGCGAGGTGTGCGACGGTGAGGCGCCGAATCGACTTTGTCGTTGAAGAGCTCTGGAGCAACATGGGTTTGTCGTCGAAGAGATCTCTAGAACAAAAGTCGGGTTTGCTTTCTACGATGCTCGAAACGTGCACGCTGAAGGGTGGTAATTTCGTAAATAAATCAAAATTTTCAATCCGAAACTGAAGAGGCGGTGGCAATCTTGTAAATAAACTGAAATCAGGTACAATGAACAGTAAGAAACAGTGCCAATTGCAATGCTTTCTTTAGACTAAAGTAATTTTCAAATAACTAAAAGTGTTTTTAGTGAAAATATATTTGAAAACAGTTTTTAGTAAAAAAAACAAGTAAACCCTAAAAAAGTACTTCACGTACTTTTAGAACTCAAAAACATTGTGGTTTTTTAACCAAAATGGTCATTTGAGATTTAAAATCAATAAAAGTAATCCATGTGATTGTCAACCGGCAATTATTTTGGTTTTCTGTGCAAAATCTCAGGGAAATTGAAGAAACCACTAATTCAAGTGGAGGGGTTGATTTGACAAAAATACCTGCAATTTAATTGAGGTTTTTCACGAAATGACCATAATGAATATGTTCTCGCTATTAATGTGAATCAAACCCGGAACCTCGAACTTACAAATGAAGATCAACATTGCTTCATCGTATCACTAGTTAGACTAACTTGAACTTGATCTCAATCTGTTTCCCAGTCCTAGTCAGTAAACTAGTCACTAGCGTGTGTGATGACGGGAGAAAATAATAAAGTGGGGGGCAGCTCCAAGCGATTGCTGATTGCAGTGAAGTTGAAGGGTAGGTGACAAATTTGCCTTGACTTTTAGTGATGGGAGAATTTGGTTGCCATGATAAATGTTCAGCAAACAAGCTGCTGCGCTGCTTGAATTGAGAAAATTGGTTCATGACGTGTACCAACTACTGCAAGTGACCATTGGCATTTTTGACCAGCCAATGATGGTTGTGGTGGCTTCTATGTGGCACAAAGATAAAAAAAAAACTCATTTAGAAGTGATTTTCAAATAACTAAAAGTGTTTTTAGTGAAAATATATTTGAAAACAGTTTTTAGTAAAAAAAACAAGTAAACCCTAAAAAAGTACTTCACGTACTTTTAGAACTCAAAAACATTGTGGTTTTTTAACCAAAATGGTCATTTGAGATTTAAAATCAATAAAAGTAATCCATGTGATTGTCAACCGGCAATTATTTTGGTTTTCTGTGCAAAATCTCAGGGAAATTGAAGAAACCACTAATTTTAGTGGAGGGGTTGATTTGACAAAAATACCTGCAATTTAATTGAGGTTTTTCACGAAATGACCATAATGATTGACGATGAGCAATTTTATGGATCATTTCTATCGATTATAAATCATATGGACCAAAGTGAGGGGTTATGCTAATTTCAGAGACCATTTTAACTAAAAACCAAACATTTTCTCTAAAAACGCTTCCAATTGTTTTAAAACGAATTTATACCTTCTTATCACCTCAACAACTCAACAAGTCTCAATTCTTTTATGCTTGAAGTGGGAAATCCAATGAGGTTTGAACTTGTGTGGCGACCAACAATGAAACTATTTGTTAATTATTTATCCTCGTTAGTAAATTTGTGTGCTTTTGTTTTTCGTATACGTCATAATGTTTCGTTGAAATATACATTTAACAACTCTAATGTACTAAAAACGTATTATACACATACATACATATTGAAATATATGTTTTCCAATAATCTCGCTCGCGCAAATGATCTATGTTCTTAAGAAGAGATGTGAATAATATTTTTGTAAATTCACACTTATATGACTCTTCACATTCCCTAACAAAGGTGTTCATTTGTAGACCATAAGTTTTGAATCGCATAGTAATGGGTCTTTTCTTTTGACTACCCTAATCTCGCGGGAAGGGATCGGACTCGGGAGCAAAGGGTAGGACACACTACCTAGCCAAAATCATTAAGCGGGGTGTACTTAATTGAGATTTTGAAAATTTTTAAAGAGTATAGCGTCGACTTGCTGAGCAAATCTTTAGCATGGAGTTCCCAATTCATACATCCATTTCACAATTTCAGTAGAAGATAAAAATGAAATGCCAAGTCCATCTACTGAATCTTAAATCACATGAAATTGGATTAACAAAGCTCCAAGAACACCGAGGAGTTCAAACATCCATAGATGCCACATACAAAGATTACGAGTGAGAATTATGGAAGTCATTAATTCCTTAACTAGGCTAGCCACAGAATGAGAGTAGGTTGGAAACATATCGAACGAGAAAGTACAACCGTCAAACATACAAGCAGTAACAAGCAAGTTTCCTAAGAAAAATATCTGATCGTAATATTGGCTAAGCCTCAATGATGAACAAAACAAAATGATTTCCTGAAGCTAAGCGAAACATGACCTGCTAATAGATTATTCATTTGCCTATAATATCAACTCAAGCAAATGTTTTAGAGAGAACACGACACAATTTAGAAATTCATGTAAGCGATATCAAGGTTAGAGAGGAGACAAAAAAAAGTGAGAATTATCTTTATACTCCTATTATTTGAAATACTGAAAGCCTAGATACTAAATTTGCAGTATTAGTTTCTAGTTAAATCTTGATCATTCTTGTCTATCTCTTTGAGTGTTTGGGCTTTATTTTAGGAGTGTGCAAAACTTTGACAAACAATAGACGTAATGTCAGGCTTAACTGTATCCACAAGGCTTATTCGCATATCCCTTTTGCATATTGTATGTGGGGGCGAATAGAGTATGAAAGACATCATATTTATACGTGCCTTGAAGCAATCTTTCATCCTTCGTCACAACCATAACCCACATGCTACAACAAAAAAATTCCAACAAAACTTGTGTAGCACATGCAACCATATGGGAAGAAATATGAGATTGAAATGTTCTAAACTGCTTAAGCATTGAGTTTATCAGATTCTAAACAGGATTGACATAACCAAGACAATTACAAATAGCTCCACACAAATTAAGAATTTGAAAGCTTCAAGTCATACAAATGAAAACTTTGTCTATTTAAAACAAACGCAAATATAAAAGAGGCAAGGTTCAAAGCGATGGTAGGAAAAGTAGAGAAAACAAGAAAAGAAAAACAACAAGCAGCATATCTTTGTCCTTCTTTAGCCTTCTTGAACTTTGAGGTACGAGTCTCTAATTGCACTCATTTTTCTAACAACCATATTCAGAAGCATCCGCTCCCTTGGTGATACTGCACAACAGGAGAGTCCGATCTGCATCACAGCAAACAAGCATTCCTCTACCTTTTTTGCTTTCACCACTCCACGATTGTTACGTCTGGGCAGCGCATTCCTTTCGTATCTGTCATTGTTAACACTACCATTAGCTTCGAGGTCGAGGAGCAATGAAGGGTCAACAACATCCATGACATGGTCGGGCAAAGCCAAGGCTGCGAATTCGTAAATGCTTAGACCTTCGATGAACATGTCATCAGTAGGTGTTTTTCCTGTGAACATTTCTAGCAAGAGTATCCCGTAGCTGTAAACATCTCCCAATATGGAAACTTGGCCTCCCATGCCGTACTCTGCCATGACATACATGTAGGCAATAAGATGTCACATGCAATTGACTATTAAAATTGATATCTTATTTCAGATTAATGTTACTTGTTTCCAGGAAAAAGAGTCAATAGTATATCTTTAATAAATAGAATTTAATTAGTTGGTTTTTAGTAATAAGTTAATAAGAACTGAAAAAAGAAATTAGAATGATGGAATCTCATACCCGGAGCAATGTAACCTATAGAACCCTTTAGTTGCGATGACATTGTTTGATTGAGGGAAGGATCATTAGATGCTTCCAAGAGGAACGTTGCTAAACCAAAGTCCCCAACATGGGCTACCATGTCTTCATCAAGAAGTACATTGCTCGGCTTTAAATCACAATGAACAATGGACGTTTCACAATGGTTGTGGAGATAATCTAACGCAGAAGCAACATCAATGGCTATGTTCAATCTTTGCATAAAATTCAATCTCATACTTGGAGATTGCTCCTCATCTCTAGGATGCAACCACGAGTCAAGACTTCCATTTGGCATGAACTCGAAGACTAGACTTTTGAAGTCTCTACCATGATTATCAATGCTCGAGCATGCAGTTATGATCTTGAGAAGATTTCGGTGCCTGACACTTCTTAAAGCTTTGCATTCATCATTGAAACTCTTGGACGCTCCTTCTTGTTGAAGGTTTAATACCTTAATAGCAACTATCGTTCCATCGCTAGGAATTACCCCTTTATAAACAGAACCAAAACTTCCCGAACCAATCAAATTATCCACAGAGAAACCGTTAGTCGATTCAACAAGTTGTGAGTAGGAAACACCTGATTTCCAATCCTTATAAGAACGTGAAGTTACAAGTCCATCTCTTGACTTTTTCAGCATTGAACGAGCACCGAAGAAGCATGATAGAGCAATTATGAATGCAAGTGCGCAAGATATAGGGATGACTACTTTTGAGGAAAGTCCTCGAGATGAATGGTGTTTATTTTTGGGGCATGCAGGTAGATGTAATTGTGGGATGCCACCACAGAGCCTATGATTTCCAAGAACTGAGACACCACTGACATTTGAAAAAATTCCTTCTTTAGGCAACTCACCTTCAAAATCATTATACGAAAGATTGAGATACTCAAGTGCTCTAAGCTTACCTATGAATACAGGAATCTGCTCGGATAAGTTATTGCTTGAAATGTCAAGTTTTTCCAAGCCCCTTAAATCTTTAAGAGACTGCGGAATTGTTCCTTCAAATTTGTTGTTGTCCAAGTACAAGCCCTCCAAACTAGTACAACTGCCAATGGTGCTGGGGATTTCACCTGTTAACTTGTTGTTTGATACATCTAGCATTGTGAGATGCACCAAATCACCCACATTACTTGGCAAGGAACCAGTCAAATAATTTTCAGACAGGTCCAAACTAATTGAAAGGTTTGAAAGCTCTATAAGCTTTTGAGGTATGTTGCCCGTTAGATTGTTATTATAGAGATAAAGTAGTAACAGGTTCTGGCAGTTTCCAAGACTTGGAGGTATACTTCCCTCAAAACTGTTTCCATCCATGTAGAGCTCTATCAATGAAGTTATATTACCAAGGGAAGATGGAA